CAGGGAAGACTGTAGCACCCTGAGAGAATGTTTGGATAAATGCAGCCACACCGACCTCTCCACTCTTGATTATTTTATCCCATGAGGTCATATCATTCTTCCCAGGATATTCTTTCCATGCATCTATTAAAGTCTTCTATTTTAGTTGACAATAGAGCCATTTTTTTCTATTAGGCAAAATGATATTTCCATAAAGGCTCACTTTCTCTAAGTTATAAATGGCTTATTTTTAGGTTAAACACTGTATTTCATCATTCTACATATTTTGGCCATGAGTTGTTAATTGTAGAAATTGGTTGATAGATACATGAGCATTTATGACCATGTTCTCTCCTATTTTACCTATTATCTTTACAATTTTTTATACCAAAACTTCTGTGTGTGTGTGTGTGTGTGTGTGTGTGTGTGTGTGTGTGTGCTGCCAGCTAGTCCTGGGGCTTGAACTCAGGGCCTGGGCACTATCCCTGAGCCTCGCTGTGCTCAAGGCTTACCACTCTACTACTTGAGCCACAGCACCAGCTTTTTCTGTGTATGTGGTACTGAGGAATTGAACCCAGGGTTTCATGCATGCTAGGCAAGCACTCTACCCTAAGCCACATTCCCAGCCCCATGGACATATTTTTAAGGCTTCTGCCTCTTCTGGAGGTTGCCCAAGAAGAAATTTTTATTTTTAAAATTGTTAAATTCTTAAATTGTTAATTTTTAAAATGCATCTGAGGTTTACCTTCATAGCAACTTTTAAGTGTATTGCTATAAAAAATAGGTTTTACAGAAAATTTTAAGATTGTTTTCCTCAAATGACTGAATTGCTTCACCCTTTAAACAGATATTTAATATTCCCCTCAATGTGACTCCTGATACTCACCATCCTATATCTTACTTTCATGAACTAGGTTGAGATTTCTCACAGGTATAGAATCAAGCAGTATTTTTCCACTTGTGTTCAGCTTACTTCATTTAATGTTTTCAAGGTACATCTATGATGTCACATATGATATTTTTGTGATTAAGTGATCCTGCATTATTTGTACATAACACATTTTCTTTATCCATCTGTTTGTGAATTATTTCGATTACTTTTAACATTTTGGCTTTTGAGACTAGAACAGTATGGTTATGTCTTTGAGATGCAGATCTCAATTTTTTAAAACATATATCTAAGTATGGTACTACTGGATCACATGGTAGTTGTATTTTTAATTTTTTGAAGACTGTCCATTCTGTTTTCCACAGTGGTTATATCATCTTACAGATACCTATATAGTATACGAAGATTCCTATAGCAGTACAGTCTCTACTCAACATTTATTGTTTTGCAATAATAATCATCTCAACAAGGCTTCAAAGGACATTTTATTGCGATTTTGATTTCCATTTCCATGATGATTAGTGATAATGAGCACATTCTCACAGACATGGCTACAATTTGCTATGTCTCCTATGAAAAAAATTATTTATTCACATCATTAACCCATTATCACTATCTTTGACTAAATTATAGTAATTCTTTACATATTGTAGTTAACTCCTTTATATATGAATTATATATTATATGGTTTGCAAATATTTTATAAAATAATTATACAAAACAATAGGTTTTGTTAGGATATTTCTATGGATGCACATAAAGTACTTTGGTCATATTCATTCCCCTTGTTGCTCCTCCTTTTCTTTCCCTCTCCACATTATCAATCATCCATCCCACTTTTACATTTGTGTTCCACACCCCTTACCAGATTCCATGCATGAGAGAAAACATGGGCTACTTGCTATTCTTTATGAGAAGGCTGGCCTGCTACACTTAAGATGAGGATCTTCAGTTCTAGCCAGAGTGAAGGAATGTCATAATTTCATTCTTTTTATGGCTGAATAAAACTCCCATATGTAATATATATATATTTTATTCAGCCATATATATGTATATACATATATGTATGTGTGTGGCTGAATAAAACTCCCATATATAATTATATATAATTTAATAAATAATATGCAATTATGTATTATGATATATATTATAATATGTATAATTGTATACATGATTATATATGTAATTTTCTTCATCCATTTTGTAGAGCCTCTAGGCTGTTGTGAAAGTAATTAAGCTCTTGTAAATTTGTGTAAGGAGGGTGTGTGGGGGAGGGGAGTGTTTGTGGGTGCCAGGGTGCAAACCCAGTGTTTTGTAAATGCTGGGCAAACTCTACCATTCAACTACATTCCTATACCATTATGTACAGTGTCTTTCACCTTTTTTTTATTGTGGAAATATGGCACAGAGGGGTTACAATTACATGAGCAAGGTAATGAGTACATTTCTTATCAAGCATTGTTGCCTCCTCCTTTGTTTCCTCTTCCCATCCCTTCCCATCCCCCCTCCATCCCTCTCCCCTACTCCCCCCCACCCCTCAGCCCCCTGTGCCAAAGTTGTAAAGTTTGTTTTACGACTTTGTTAATTTTTCAAATTTTGTTTCTCAGAAGCATTGAGTTTGATGTAGTCACTTGATTATTTTGCTTTAGTTGCTTGTGCTTTTGATGATTCATCCCAAAATTTCAGTGTTAAGGCCAGTGTTAGGAAGAATCTGCATATGCTTTCTTTTAGCAGCTGTATAGCTGTGGGTCTTCCGTCTAAATTTTAAATTCATCTTGTGATGCTTTTGTGTATGATGGGAGTTCACCTTCATTCTTCTACATGTGGGTATCCAATGTTTCCAAAACCACTTGCTGAATCAATGTCAAGCAGGGCTCAGCCAGAGCTGAAACTCTGTGTCTCCTTTTAACTTTATTTGCATGACTTCATTTTTTTCTGTTCAACAATCCTATGTCTCTTAAAAACTTAATTCCTCAGGGCTGGGAAGGTGCTCAGTGGTAGAATGCTTGCCTTGCAAGCCTGAGGCCCTAGGTTTGATTCCTCAGCACCACATAAGCAAAAGGAAAAAAGCTGGAAGTGGTGCTGTGGCTCAAGTGGTAGAGCCTAGCCTTGAGCTGAAGAGCTGAGGGACAGTGCCCAGGCCCAGAGTTCAGACCCCACAACGAGACCCCCCCCCAAAAAATTTAATTCCTCAACTTCTGCTTACTTTCCCCAAAGTACTAATAATATTAGTACTAATTATATTATACTAGTTATAAAACATACTTTAATGTTTTCTTGACCATTATTCATGCTTCTCTAAATTTAACTCAACCATACTCTAGTAATGATGCTCATTTGGGTGTTTTTTTGTTTATTTGTGTTTCTGATAGCTTTACAGTTGGAAGAAAGGAAAAATACAACAAAAACTTGTCCATCGTTTTTAACCAGTAACTTTCATTGTTGATGGTATGTTATTGACTTTAAACTTATAGAATTAGGATTCTATTTTTTTCTCTAGAAAGTCTTATCTTGTGCTTTTAGACAGGACATAAGTTGAAGAGAACTATCTGCCTGAATTCCTTCCCTAAGCCTTATGTCAAGAATCAGTCCATCCTCCAAGACCTCTCTTTAGCATGGAGCAATAACTCTTGCATGCAGAATTACCATGCATTTCCTAATTCTTTAGTGTCTTTCTAGGACCTAAGCACATGTCCTTTGTGAACACAACTTGTCAATAATTCACTTTCAAGACATTGGAGTCTAAAGTATTATGTATAGAAAAATGAAGAAGTCTGTGCTAGTAGTCAAAGGAGGTCATAGAAAAAATTGCTTTTCTTAGTTTCATCTTGGGATCAGTTTTCATTTCCTGGTTTTGAATTTTAGGACCAGCTAGTGAAGTCTTGTTGTAATGGGTCTGCTCATTTGTTCCTACCCATTGGCTCATGAAGTAACTCAGTATTGTTTACTTGTCATTTAAGATAGCTATCTTGTAATTTTAATACAGATGACATTTTATTTACAACGGCTATTTGTGTATCAAAAAATCCACTTTTACAGTTTTAACATTTTTTACTTGTGTGTGTGCCAGTCTTGGGACTTGAACTCAGGGCTTGTGTACTATTTATCAGCTTTTTTGCTCATGGCAAGCACTCTACCACTTGAGCCACAGCTCCACTTCTGTTTTTTTTGGTTGTAAATTGGAGATGAAAGTCTTGTGGACTTTCCTGCTGGGCTGACTTTGAATCATGATTCTCAGATCCCTGCTTCCTGAATAGCTAGGATTACAGGTGCAAGCCCTTGGCACCCACCACTTTTAACTTTTTAAATTACCAAATAACTTAGCACATTTTCACTCTCAGCTCCAATTCTTGAGTCTCATTCTACACATCTTATCTTTCTGTGTCTCCTCTCTACACCATTTCTGAAATCTCTATTCCTACCACACTCCTGACCTTCATCTATGAAATCCTTTGCTTCCTTCCCCATCCTCCTTGTGTTTAATTCTAGACTATCATTTTCTCCAGGCCAGTCTGTTCCTAAGTCATATTCCTTGACTGGTGCTCAAGATAATTATCAAGAGTTGATTAAATGATAGGCTGGGGAAAATAAAATCTTTCATGTCTGTTGTATAATACTAAGAAGAATGAAAGAAATATGAAGTTTCCTTTCAACATCAATAAAATATTCAAAATGGCACCACAAACATTTATTTCCTATGAAACCTGATGTCATAGTCCTGAAAGAATTCCTAGATTTCCTAGATATGAACAGGAAAGAAAAGTACCATTCTTTCACCAAAGAAAACAGCTCCACCAACATTTTATCATTTTTTTCTCCTGGAAATAACTCAATGTCTGCATGCTGAAAAAATGATTAATAGTCCTTTCTTTTCTTAATGAAACACATAAGAAATGGCAATTTTCACAGAAACTTTAGCTGCTGGCTGCCTAGAATCTCATATTGCTCCACCTCGCCTTTCCTTTACTACTTCTTTCCAACCATGAAAACAAACATCATGGAAAAAGTGACCATTCTCTGTCCACTAAAGGACTTAGCATGACAAAAGGATAGAGTCTGTCTAGCTTCTATATAAAAGGAGAAAAGAAGGTGCCTATTATTTAGGCAGTGATAAAGAAATCCCCAAAGGATAATCTGCTGAGTTTCTACTTTTATTAAACAGGCAGTTGGACAGACAACGTTGTCACCAGGAGATCTGCAAAGCACAGATATGCTGGAGATTACTCTGTACCCTCAGACCAAAGTCTAGGAGGAAAGAGATGGAAAAGACTGAAAATCAGCAGGTCCAATCCCAACAGCTCTGCATTGTTTTCTATAGTAAAAAGATAAGTTCTGAAGAATTCTTTGTATATACAGATGGCAAAGGTAGGTGGTTCAGAATTGGGATATAGATTTTTTTCCTTCCTGGCTTTTCACCAATCCTTGCATCTCATTTGACCTGGAAGAGAAGAGGCGACAGGTTAAATGCTAGAATTCAGGCACACTGCACAGATGTGAGTTTATATTAATCAGGAAAGCCACAGATTCACATATTGTACTGAGAACTATCACTTTAAAATCACACCTATATTTATTCAATGTGATTCTATGACTTTGAACAGTTAACATGTACTGCCTATTGGGCAAACACAAAAGTGAACGTGTTTCACACTGATAATTACATGTAACCTTTAGGCAAATATAAAAAGTAAGTATCACTAACACCATTTCACAGATGAGGAAATTGAGCTTTAGGTTTTAGTGTCTTACTAAGTTTACCAATCAGGTCATTGTGAATCTGACTCCTCGAACACTAATGCTTTATTATTATTATTATTAATCATCTTAGCTATTGGAATGTAATTAGCTGTTTTCTTTTCCTAGTTCACCAATGTTTTAGAACGTTTTGATGTCAGTATTTAAAGCATTAAGTTAACACTTATAAAACATTTAAAAGGGGGAATTGGCTTCAGGAAATTTGTTCCAGATAGCTGTACATGGCTAGGTGGCACAAGAGCAACCCCAAACTCAAACATCAACATCTACTTCAATGCCCATTTAAACTCTATAAGCTTTACTTGGCTTTGAAAGGAGCAATGCATGGCCCTTTGAACCCTTCAAAATCTGTGTGATGAAGTTGAGAGCAGTCATTAATCTCACCAATTTACACTGGCATTTCTATTGAAATAGGAAATATTTGAGTAGGGGTGCTACTGACAGGTGATCATCTGATCTTACTCTATTTTGGATGTATACCCTGGAAATTGAAATCTACTTGTCTATGTAGGAAATACTTCAATTGTGCCTTATCTTTTCTAGGCTCACAGTATCTTTTGGTGAGTCTGACTTATAGCAGTGTGTAAAGAATGAAATCATAGATTCCACATTGGACTCAAAATGTTGCACAAGTAACTTAGATAATGACAGGAGTCTCCCAGTCTAATTGTCTGTCAGACAAAGAAAGTGATGACACCTCCCTAATCAGATGACTACTGTGAGGATACAAGGAGAATGTACCCTCAACTCTAAAGAGCTACATAAATTCTGATGATCTTTCTCTAATGATTTTAAGTCATGCCCCATCCATACCACCTGTAACCAAGATCACTAACCAAGATCAGGGGAAACTGAAATTTCATCCAGCTAGAATGTTCTTTTCTACAATGATTTGTTCTTAACACTAGGAAACATTCCTGTTGTTAATATTGCTTCCCATGCATGGAGAAAGAAACCCCTAGAAATTAAAGGAAGGAATGCTCCTACAAAAGTGTACATGCTAGCTTGCAACATGGTTATTCACTATTTTAGAAAATATTTATCAATATGACTTTAAATCAAGTTTCTTGTGATTTTGTTTATGGCAAGTCTCCTATGTAGGACAAGAGGTTCAGGACATAAGTATAGTGCTTTGAATTTGCACAAAGATTATTTTGACATTTTTGTTCTGAGCTACCTCATGCAACTAGATTTATTTGTGAAGAAGAACAGAGGATATACTTTCAATAAAATAGGAAGCAAATCACATAGAATTTTACTAAATATGATAGTGAATGATATTATGGCTAGAATATACATTTAAACCTTATTTTAAAAAATAAATGTATACAGACTAGAATAGGTAAATGAATGCTAAGTTAACAAGAGAGAATGGGTTGTTTGAGTTCTTAGGAGCCTTCTCCTAAGGGTGAAACCAAAAATATCCTAGCTTTTAATATTTTTCTTTGTTTTGTTTTGCTGGTTCTAGGGCTTGTACTCAAGACCAGGGTACTCAAGACTAGTAGCATCAAGGCTTTACCATTTGAGACACAGTATCACTTCTAGCTTTTTCTGAGTAGTTTACTGGAGCTAAGGGTCTCAAGGACTTTCCTGCCCAGGCTGGCTTCAAACTGTGATCTTCAGATCTCAGCCTCTTGAGAAGCTAGGATTACAAAGGTGAGCCACTTGCACCTGGCTCCTATCTTATAATTCTTGTGTTCTCAATTTCTCATATCAAAGCAATATGACGAATATAATTTTAATAAAATACTTATTCAATATACAAATTAAATAGCAAACACAAGCTTATTAAAATATAATACATTAACATATTTTATTAACATAATAATACACTCCTAAAACTATAATACTTCTCCCCCAAATACTAGGTGCTAGTGGCTCACACCTGTAATCATGGCTACTTAGGAGACTGAGATCAGAGTTCATAGTGCAAAGCCTGTCTGGGCAGGAAAATCTGTGAGACTCTTATTGCCAAAAAAAAAAAACAGCAAGAAGCCAGAAGTAGAACTATGGCTCAAGTAGTAGAACACCAACTTTGAGTGAAAGAACAGTGCTAAATGACAGTGATCAGGCCATGGTTCAAGCCCTAGAACCAACAATAATAGTGATGATGACAGTAATAATAATAATAAGAAATAAAATTAAGTAAGTACTGAGTCACGGTTTATGTTTCTAAGATCATACCTTCAAGTCTTCCTTTAGGCAAAGTAATAAGAGTGACAACAATAATAAAAATTCAATTAATTTTTCTGACACAGTGCCAAATGCTATAAAGTCAGTGGTTCATAAAAGTATTTTTCAATAATTCATTGAAATCTTTGGGTTGAAACAGTTACGTTATCCACTAGAACTCTCAAAAATTGGAAATTGAACACAAATTCATCTTTTTTCTTTTTTCTTTTTGAACTCTGGGATTGGGCACTGTCTCTGCACTCTTCAGCTCAAGGTGAGCACTCTACCACTTGAGCCACAGTGCCACTTCCGGTATTCTAGTGGTTTATTGGAGATAAGAGTCTCACAGACTTTCCTGCCAGGGCTGGCTTTGAACCACAATCCTCAGATCTCAGCCTCCTGAGTAGCTAGGATTTCAGGTGTGAACCACCAGGGCCCAGCCCCAAATTCATCTTATAAGAGCTTATTTATTTTTAAAGTTAATCTATCCTGTTGGCTGATGAAAAGACTCCTCAACAACATTCAGGAAGCGGGATTTCAAAGTCAGTAACTTGTGCTGAATTATACTATGGCTGTTAAATAAAAGCTGAACGTAGTGGACATTGTGGGATATGACATTTCATAAAAGTGGTGTCAGGAAGTGGCACTGTGGCTCAAGTGGTAGAGTGCTAGCCTTGAGCTGAAGAGCTCAGGAACAGTGCCCAGGCCCAGAGTTCAAGCCCCACAACTGACAACAACAACAAAAAGTGGTTTCAGTCTTGCTTTGTTGCTATATGATCTCTCTTACTCCCTGTCTCATCTTTGCATGGTAGATCACAGAGAATAAACCCTACCCTGCAGGACATCATAGGAGATTTAGTCATTGCTCATAAATAATCTATTAATGAGGATAGAAATATATTTTAAAGATAAGCTACTATATTATCCCCCTTTGTTTCAGGAATTACTTAACCACTGTCACAGGAAAAATGTGACCAGTTGTAAAGTCACTTGACCTCATCTGACTTCTCTGGCCTGGGAAATTTCCAGCATTTACTACAAGAGAACAAAAGCAGAATCAACTACTTCTAGCATCAAAAGCATGAAGGCCAGAGCACTCACAGATGAGGTGGTGGCAGGTGCTGGTTCTGGGCTGTTTGTCCACTCACACTTCCCTCTACTACGTATGTGAACATCAGTTTGACGTATCCTAAAATAAAACGGAAGTTTCAGCAATGAGGAAATACACAGCTATAATGAGAAAAAAAACATTAAGATCAATGTGAGTGATTTTGAACAACAAATCTGACCTGAACCATTTTCCAGAAGGCATCTATTTGGGTTCAGTCTCTGTTTTTTACTCCTGATTCCTCCTCTAACTATGAACTTGTTGGATCATGTTTCACCCACTAAAACATTCATACAGTTATTGGATATTGGAAGCTATCCATTTCAAAAGCCATTAATTTGTGGATGGGAAAATTAGGATCCCAGAGAGAAGTCTGACTAACAAGTATCCAAAAAAGATTTGAGGAATAGAAAATATAACAAGACCTAGTAATACAGTATGGGTTTAAAAATTTATTATGAGAACAAATATTGCCTTTTAATAAATATTATGAATCAATTATCCATTTGTTTGACTGTGGTAATGGAAGCTAGTCATCTCTTGAGATCTGCCTTTGGATGTTGCTCAAGCTGAAATTGCTTCCCTATACTCTCCCCCCAGACTATACAAACCAATATTGGTCCCTTTTTCCTGGGATAGTCTGAATTTTTTCTTCTTTCTCATATGAACTCCCAGATTTATAATCAAACAATCCATCCTGAAGAATAATTTGTAAATATTTTAAAATAGAAATTCACTGATCCATACTTTATTTTCTCTTGAGTTGTTAAAATTATCATTAAGTAGTTGTACAAAGGAGCTGTGAATTAACAAAGCAGTTTATGCATACAAAAATCTGTATCTATAACCCCATGTACAACTTTTTTCTTTTATGTTATATCATTCATGGGAAAATTAATGTAAATATAAGGATCTTTCCAAGATTAAAAGACAATATATCAATGAACCCTGTTTTCATGTTCTGGGCCATGTTTTTTTTTTTTTTTTGCCAGTCATGGGGCCTGAACTCTGGGCTTGGGAGCTAGCCCTTAGCCCTTCAGCTCAAGGCTAGCCCTCTACACTTGAGCCATAGTATCACTTCTGCATTTTTCTGCTTATGTGGTGCTGAGGAATCGAACCCAGGGCCTCATGCATGCAAGGCAAGCGCTCTACCACTGAGCCACCTTCCCAGTCCTGTCCTGGGCCATGTATACAGCATTCTTCAAAAGATAAGTAGTATTCATACTGCAGTGTAAGTCTGGATCAAGATGGAAAACCAATGATTTGTCACCAATCTCCTCACTGAAAATTGGTCACATGGAGGCTTAGAGAAGGTAAAGGATATATATTAAAGCAAGGAGAATCAGAATCAGAATCTGATAGCATATGAACAGAAAATCAACAAGAAAATTAATAATAAAGGAACTAGAGTGGATCCCTTGTGCTTAATCTAAAATAAAACTATTTTCTAGAAGTTCATTGTCAATAGTCTGTGAACTAATTGCTCAATGAAAAACTGAGTCTGAGAAGGAGGAGGTATTATACCCTTGACAACAGTTAGTGAGGAATTTAAAACAGACATCAATGTAGCATTAGGGGTTTTGCATGGCATAACCTCCTTCATGAGAAGATTAACAGAAGTTAATGCTCTCTTGAAACGTACAACTTTTTAGACGTGATAGGAGAGATTAAATCCACGTGGCAGTTCTTCTCAGGTGATTTCCTTTGCTTCATGCTGGATGGATGATGCTCTTATATAGATTAACCACAACCATTGTTAAGCAGATGTAAGCAACTTTTTAAAAAGAGTAGCACTAAATCCTTTCTATGTTATATATACATAAAATTCATACAGTATTTTTATTTTTGGTGTTCTAAGTACTTAAACTTGGGGTCTCTTGCTAACCAAGCAAGCTTTCTGGAGTGAAGCCATGCTTCCAGTGGTTTTTGCTTTAGTTTCTTTTCTAGAAAGGATCTTGAACTATCTGAAAATATGTAAGGACTGGGCCAGTCTTGGCTAGCCTTGGAACACAATCTCCCTACTGTATGTCTCTCCTGCAGATATTACATACAGAAACCACTGTACTTGGCTTAACAGACTTTGAGTTTTAACTGACATGATTAATAAGCATTTTGTAACATATACTAGACTGATACCCAGGTACTGCCATTTATGGAAGATGTACAGTGTGCCTCGTGTACTCACAGGTTTTCATGACAAAGCATGCAGGGATTGGCATAGGTCTGGCCATCATCACCACAGACATAATTTATGTTCTTTGGGCATGCATAACCCATCCTGGGCCGTAATTTGTAGTCTTTGCACATGTCAGCATCCTGAATGAATAAAGCACAAAACAGATTTGGTTATCAGCGTTCAAGGAAAAGCATAGGCTGGAAGAACCTCTTGGGTACTTGAATCCTATTTGAATGAATGATTAGAAACAGTGCTGTGACCTGGGTTATTCAAACTCATGTATTTATTTAACATATCGTATTTGGATTCTATAAAGTAGGTGAATAAACAAAGAAAGAAAAAGAATGAAAACTGTAAGAAAGGAGAAATCTTACAAAATATGAGTCATGATAGGCTGGAGCATACTTAGGAAGAAAACTAGGGTGTGATTGATGCTAAAAATAGGATTCATTTTTTTTCCCTTAAATCAAGGAACTGGCTACAAAGACAAGTTAGGAAGAAAATATTCACAGGTAATTATCAACTTTTCTCATAGATTTAGTTATCAGTCTTATCAGAAAGTAGTGCATTTATTAATTTTATCATATGAATAATAATTGCTTTTGTATTACCGCTTTTAAGGATAAAATAAGATAGTGCATCCAAATGCATAATGAATACAGTGTCTGTCACATATTAACTGTTCTGTGAGAGTTTCTACTATGTTTCCTCAGTTAATTAAAAAAAAAACCGATAGGTTGCCTGCCTAGCAAGGGAAAGGCCCTGGGATCAGTCCTCTGGACCACAAAAATATATTTGCTTTTATAGCTTTGGGGGAATATAATTTAATAATACTCATAACAACTAAAATAATAATAACTTTCATCAGATTAATCAGAATAGAAGGTTAGGAGAAAAAGAAAAAATAGATCTGAATATAAAAGACGGTGCAAACTTAACTCCCACACTATCAGACATTGTAGTAAATATTAGCAAATAAGTACTACAGATTAAAAACCAAATTTGTCAAGCTAAAAATAAAACAAGTGACACAATGATGTGGTTGGTTTTGTTGTGAGCTTTTTAAAACCAGAAATATACTTTAAATATAAGGAAAATGGGAGGATGAAAGTAAAAATGTAAGTTTGGTATGATTCAAAGTAATAATAGGAAATTTAGAAAGTGGTTTAGAATGAATGATGATTCGTACATACAACCATCTACCATACACCATCTATTATACCATACTACCACACAATAATTCATACATACTACCATCTACCATACAAATACTACCATACCAGACTACCACGCAATGCTTCATACATACTACTACCATCTACTATACAATATCTACCATACCATGCTACCACATAATGATTCATACATACTACCATTTCAATGAGCTATCAGATCAAGGCCAAAGAAAGCAGAAGAAAAGAGGAGAAAAGAGGCAAAATGAAGGACATACAAAACTACAAAGGACCAAAAGAATCAAAACAATAAATGAGTTTATTATCTGTTTTCAGAATTAACTAAGCAGATTATTCAACATGTACCACCATTAATAGAAATAAAATCACATCAGTGTATCACCTTTAGATAGTAAAAGGATAATGTGAAAATGTTATGAATAATTCTATACTAATAAATGCAACCATTTAGATAAAATTAATAAGTTACTTGTAGACTACATTTTTGTTTTGAATGAAACAAAAAATTAACATTTTAACTGTATTATATATTTATTTGTATTTATATTTATTTATATATGATATATATAATATATGTAATTTAAATATATTATATAAATATGTATTATATGCTTGATAAAAAATGTACTCATATCTTGCCCATGTAATTGTAACCCCTCTGTACAATATTTTCACAATTAAAAAAAAGAAATGTACTCATTACCTTGTTCATATAATTGAAACCACTATGTACAGTATTTTCACAATAAAAATAAATAAATAAAAATATGTATTTTATATAAACAAATATAAATACATAATATAAGAAATATATAAATATGTATAATATATAAATATATATAAATGTATATAATTATTATATGTTAGTACTAATTTCAGAGCTGTCAGTGTTTGCTTATTCCTTTGTTTTGATAAATAATTCAAACATCTAAATAGATTGCTTCAGAGTGTGGTGAGCTCCATGCCGATACAAATATTCAGAAAGAGTTTTGATAACTAATTTGTATGAATCAGGAATTTCTATCACACTTTTCAGGTAATGGCTGTGGCAATATTCAGTAAGTATTAGGATAAATCACTGCAAAGATGAAGCAGATAGAGAGAAAAACAAGCAGTGTACTTCTCTTTTCCTTACATAGTACATTAACTCTGATCAAACTCTCTTGGCTCCTCCAACATGGATCTAGTATCCAACCACCTCTCAGCTTCCTCTGCTCCCATTGTGATAAAATCCAACTCTGTTTCCTCTGGATGGCTGTACTCACTAATGAGCTGTGAGCTGCTACCTTTTAAAAGCATGTATTACTCAACTGCCATTCACTTTAGTTCGCATTTTAGGTTACTGAAAAGTGATTGGCATAAAGGAGGTAAGTGAGAGGAAACTGACAAGACTTTTGATCTACTGAAAATACACAACTGACTCAATCGATCCCATGTTTGACTGCGTATGTCATATATATATATTATATATATATTATATATGTATGTCATATATATATATATGACATGCGCAGTCAAACATATACACAGTCACTATGCACCCACTTCTTAAAATTTCAAGATGTATTCAATTGAATCAGGATTACTAATCCCAAAGAGCAGAATAATGCTGAGGAATAACAGATGAGTGATCTCAGAGCTCTAGCCAAGCATGACAGCATTTGGCCTTTGGTCCTGCAGTCCCTTGGCTGCATGGGATCAGTTTCCTGCACCCTTTCCGTCAGATTGAGATTAAGGAGGGCAAGGGAAATAACCTGACATATCAAAGGACTCCAATTGATGAGTAGCTTTTCAGGAATAGTTGCTCTTACCAGAAAAGCAATAGAGGCATCTGGGCTTTTTTCTTCAGAAGCTCTAATGTGGCGTGGCTTTTCTTTAAGTTTAACTCTTTCCAATGCTTCTTTCTGACTAGAGAAGGAAACACAAATGATTTAATAAAATAAGCCCTGAAAACATTCAATCAAAAAGTAACCCTGATAAGATGTTCAGAAAAGCACACATGTAGTCTTATTATCCCATCCACTTGGGAGGTATAGCTCGTGGAAGACCAGCTTGGACCTTGAACAAGACCTACTTTTCTGAAAAAAGGAAAAGCTGGTGGTTTATGCCTGTGATCCTAGCTACTCAGGAGGCTGAGATTTGGAGAATGAAGGCTCAAAGGCAGCAAGGGGAGATCGTTCTGTGAGATCATAAATGTGTGATCTTAAACCTGTGCTCAAAGTCCTGAGTTTGAATTTCCTAGAAACAGGAACAGTACCCCATGAAAAGTTCTATCAATGTTACTCGTACCTTCGCAGTGCTTTTTCACAACTACTACCCACTATGATCACTATCATCATAATCAGCATTACCATTATCATCACTATATGCTCTGCTCTTCTGCTCTTGTAATTTGGCTATACATTAGAACAATTCCTTAAAATTTCTCAGCAGCAACTTCTGAAAGACAAATCTTTGAGCCCTAGAAATATATTTTGGAGTAAATATAAGCCAGATGCTGGTGGCTCATGCCTGTAACCTTAGCTCCCCAAGTGACTAATCTCTGAAGATCCAAGAATTTTAATCAGAAGAGACTGGGACACTCATTTCTAATTAATCAGCAAAAAGCCAGAAATAGGAGTATGGTTCACGTGGTAGAACACTAGCCTCGAGCAAAAACAAGCCAAGTGAGAGAGCTGAAGGGACTGAGTTTAAGTCTAAGTAGAGGCACAAAAAAATCATCTATCTTCACAGAAATAAAAAGACTTCTTTATTGCATTTGCTGTTGTGGTAGAATAAAGATTGGTATTTCTTCTTTGATGTGGAAAGTTGATACAAAGTTCAGCTGAGAGCTAGTGAAAGTCCCAGATAGAACCTGCATTCATATCCCTGACTGTGCTAGGTCAGAACACCCACTTAAAGTCCTTGACTACAAAGACTCGCTTTAAGGACTTGATGGATTTGTGAACACGCACATTTACTCCATCAGCACCTCTGAAAGTGCAGCTCCCCTGCAAGCCAAGCCAGAAGGCCTCTTACTCACAAGACAGCTCGGCACTTGTAGCATTTGTTTCTGTAGAACTTTCCATCTGCACCACGCACGGGGTCCATCTCCCGAGTGCAGGCCAGCTGGTTGTTCTTTACATACTTCCGGAAGTCTTGGCACTCATCCTAGAAAATGAGACAGGGAAGTGAAGGAGCCCTATACTCTTTGTTGCTTGGCGTTTTATTTTATTTTATTTTTGGCAGACTTGGCTTAGGCTGGGACTCACTGCACTGATCCCGGCAACGGAGGCCAAGGAACTCCCAGACTGTCTAACAAGTGCATCCTCTGCTTCACTTGGAACCTCTCTGCACTGGTCCTGGAGTGTAGAGAAACATAAGACAACCCTTGGGTGACCCTCCTTATCCACCTCTCCATTCACTCATCATTGCTTTTTCCCCTATTTTCCAGATGAGGTGTGCTCTTAACCCAAGGAGGATCTCAGGCGATCTAACTCTATAAATGTGACATCACTGTTAAAATAACTGCTGGAAGAGGTCTTCGTGGTGGTCTGGAAAAGCAAATAGAAAAGGCAGCGTGACCCATGCAACACTATTGATTCACTGATTCTGAAAATCATCTGGAGAGAAAAGAAAAGAGACATCAAGGAGGAGAGCCAAACAGATGCTTGAGATTAGTTTATGTTACCTGGATGATTAGAATCAACATCAACAAGTTACCTAAAGCCTCATGCCACATTTAATGTGTCAGAAATGAGCATGCAGTTGAGATGGAAATGATTTGTACACTCTAGTTTCAATCCAAATCTGTCCCAAATCAGAAAGATTGAAGCGATTATTGACACACATTGTGGCAGAATTCTCTGTGATTTTTTTTAAAAAGCATCAAGCCCCAAACCAGAAGAATAAAATAGTCTTATTATAACCCAACGTGATCATGTGGGCAAAATCAATTTTCTTTCAAGTAAAATAATTACAATTTTTGTTATCTAAACACCAGAGAAGAAAGCCATGTTTGGGAAAGAGAACAATAAAAGGTTAAGCAATAACCTTTGCGTCATTTGAAGGTTTGGACCTTGACTTTTCTTCATCATTCTTTTTTCTTTCATTGGCTTCTCGCTGGCTGCAAAATACAAAGTTGCAGCATAATTTTTCTAGAACTTTCATTGGACTGCCTTTCAACCAAATAACTTTTTTCTCATTTTAAGGGAGAACAAATCAAGTACTAGTTCACATGTCTAAAAAAAAATCTATTTGTTTTTGAAAAGTTAATTACTTCTAATCATTGGAGTTTTCATTTGAGACCATGTTCTCAACTTTCACTGACTCATTTAATGGACTGTTATCCACTATCTTAGTGTTCTAAAAAGCTATTGTTTTTGTTTGCCTTAATAGAATACACTTATTCTACTCACTATCTAGAGAATTATTTCATTTCTTTTTCTCTACTTTTCAAATTAAATTATAAGTACACACCTCATTTTGGTTATTCCTTATAGTTACTGTGTTCTAAAGCTTATTCATTCTTAAGAAGTATGATCACTTTATAATTCTTTTATAGATCAGAGGAGCCAGGCTGCACAAGATTGAGGTTCTCAGGTCATTCTCTGAGAGCCTTTTCTTTAACAGTCAGTGATTCTATCATAAATGAAATAATTGTCATTTTCCTAACTCAGGGTCACTGGTATGGTTCTCATGGCACAGTTAATTAATTAATTAATTAATTAATTAATTAATTTTGGTCAAAGCACTTTGGAAACTAACTGCATAAAAGAGACTGATCTTTATGTGTGTACTCAAGTCTTAAGGTTTAACTGACAGGAGTTCTTTCCTGGCAAATAGGCACAACATATGAGACTAGAGACAAGCCTGTTCACGTACAAGACACTCTGGCACATGGCACACTTGTTCACATGCATCTTTCCATATGGGCCTCGAACAGGATCATTTTCTCGGGTGCAGACCAGCTTTCCATCTCTCTGCTTGCTCCGGAATTCATGGCACACATCCTGCCAATAGAAGCAAAATCAGACTTTACCATACTAGTCTAGTGTTCTCCACTGGAAAGCATGTTTTGTTTGATAGATAAGAACTCATCACACTTGAGAAAAAGGGATTTCAAATTTTAAAGACTCTTTGTCTGGCTTGGTGCCTTTTACCACTACCTAAGGCAGTCCTCTGCTTTAAAGACAATTTTTTTTATTCCAGTGTTGGAATTGAACCTTGGTCCTCAGGTCTGCTAGGCAAGCACTCAACTACTTCGTCCATGTTGTCAGTCCTTTTTGTTTCTATTCTGGTTTTAAGACAGTCTAGTAAAGTTTGTCCAGGCTGGCCTCCAACTCATGATCCTCCTGCTTCTGCCTCCTGAGTAGCTGAGACTGCAACTGTGTACAATCATGTTAGACTATATTTTTAACATCTTATACATTATTCTGTCAGGCTGGGGCTTAAATTTGTCTCCTCACGATTCATTACTGCACAATCAATAAGTCTAAGTTGAGTGAAAAAGAAAGCAAAAAACTAAAAACATTCCTATGGCTATACATACAAACAAAAGCCCAGAGCATCAATTTCTAAAAATGAAAGTGTTGCATGCATATTACATGCTAGGGTCCAGGGGATCACCCCTGTAATCCTAATTATTTGAGAGGCTAAGATTGGGACAGTCAAGGTTTGAGGTGAGCCCTGAGACAAACACATTTATGAGATCCTTTCTCAATCAAGAGCTAGGAATGGTGGTACATGCCTATTATCCTAGTTATGAAGAGAAGATCAACAGGCAGGTTAAAGTCCAGTTGGTGCCAAGGAAGGAAGGAAGGAAGGAAGAAAGGAAGGAAGGAAGGAAGGAAAATAGGAAGGAAGGAAGGAAGGTAGTAGAAATGAAGAGAAAGAAAAACAAAAACAAAAAAGAGAGAAAATGAACTAAAACAACAGACTTGCTCTTTTGTTCATGAAAAATAAAAAGTTGAAAAGAGAAGCCAGTAGAACTGATTCCAGGATGCGTGGCTTCCATTGAAATCTTTGAGATTTATAGAAGTCTCTTCAATTTCGTTTAACCCCAAAGTGACAGAGTAGTGATATGGAAATGCTCTCTTAAAAACTCTGTTACCGTCCTAAGTTGCAGTTATCCTTCTTTCATTAAATCATTCTATCTACAAACAATTCTAGGCCTGCTTTATCTGATACATTTTTAAGTCTCTGGAATTGAATTGTTTCACAGCTATCATTTTCAAAAATAGCTAGAACTGTTTTCAATTCCAGGTACTCACAATTTTATGTGCATGTTAATAATGGTACAAGCTGGATGTTAGTGACTCATGCCTAATTATTTAGGAGGCTGAGATCTGAGAATTGTGGTCTAGAGCAAGCTGGGCAGACAAATCCTTGAGAATCTGATCTCCAATTAACCTGCAAAAAGCATAAGGTAGAGCCATGGCTCAAGTGGCAGACTGACAGATGTGATGAAAAGTCAAGTGAGAACACAAGGCCCTGAGTTCAAGACCCAGTACTGTCAAAATAACAGCAATAATAAAATAATAGTAATGATACCTATCTGCAGTGCAAACCTTGTTTTCAAAAATTAGGTAACATGTTCTACTTATTTCTTATGTGTAGTTATAGTTCCTTGAATTTTTCTCAGTTGTAAAATTGAAACAGGCCATAAGATAGAGTTTTGAGAATGTTTAACTGTGATAAGATGTAAAGCTTGTTTTCCTTTGCGTGTATAGGTAAAATCATGACATTTTTTTACATATACCCAAAATACCAATATTTCTATCTATTTATAAATATAGCTACAGTTTTACTTTTCTAGCTGGAGTCTATGGTGCTATGTAATATTCTGTTATTTTATTAAGTACTACTGATAAAGCCCCAAACTGAACACTAGAGGGTAGTAAAATGCCAGGGCTAAAATTTTTGTCATTTGCTTCCTTTTGTGTACTTTTGGTATTTACTTATTGATGTGTTTTTAAAACCTCAGGAATTCAATTATTCACTGAACAAAGAGTCAAAATAACTCAACACTTATCAATGGTGCTATAAATTAGAGTTGCTCTGAAGTCATTGAATGGTGTATTTTTAGTTTGTAAGAGATAGTCATGTTTGTTTTCTCTTTTCCTTTTTATTTCATTTTTTTAAACCATTATACCCCCATCAATTAGGAGAGAGCAAGTATTCCAAAAAACAAAACAAAAAAGCAAAAAAAAAATTGCTAAATGAATTCCCTGCACAATGTAGCAGCTAAATTTAGTCACTAATACGAGTAATATCTTTGACCTCCTTGTCATTGCTCCTTTCTCCTGTTGTCCTCTTGGCTTCATCCTCTTTCTTTTTCTTCTCAGCTGCTTCTCGTTCACTAAAGGAAAGGAAGCAAGAGAAAAATTCAACTAAAGTGAATTAATATCTCTTCTATCCCAAGATCTACTTCTAGAACACCTTCCTTTCACTCAAACTGTTAAGAATGGCTACTACACAGTGAGGAATTTCCATTTTGGGAGGGGGGAATACTCACAGCTTATCCTTACACATGGAACACTTATTGACATGAGTCTTGCCATCTGGTCCTCGGACAGGGTCACTTTCTCGAGTGCAGAGAAGATTTCCATTTTTCATTTGGCTTCTAAACTGATCACACACATCCTGGAAAGAAGGAAAGATTGTATTGAAAGTGTCTTTCCATTTTTGTGTTTGCTTACATTTGAACAATCAGCAGATTTGTCATTTCTATCCAAGAGTCACGCAGCCACCTAATCTCACTGTAGTTAGCAGAACTGTGGCCTATGCAACTGTCCCTGTTGTAATTTCGGAGATGTCTATAAATAGGTTTCCTTCTATGTCAGGTGCTACTTATGGTGGCATATAGAATTAAGGTTTCCAATCAGCCATTTGAAGTGAGGATTGTTGAAGGTTGATGTCTTGAGAGACAGACAGAGAAAGACTCAGTTTCAGACTGAGAAAGAATAAGAAAGACTCAAGGGAAAGTGGAAGATGGCAGAGGAGAAGCTGGAGGCTAAACAAGCTCTTGCATAGAAAGCAGTTTTAGTGTTCCAGTGAACAGTCCTAGGCTAGAGAATCACACCAAGTGTGCCATCACAGTATAGAGAGTTTAGCCAGAGAGAAAAAAATCCAGGCAGCTTGGTCAAGACACTTTACAGCGTGTGCAGCAGTGGTGGCCACAGCAGTGGTGGCCGCCACATAACAGAGAGAGCCCAGATCAAAGGAGCCAGACACGGTGTGCAAGCAGATTCTACTCACCACCAACAAGAACTGACAAGGAGCAGAAATCTTCATCCTGCTGATTGCAGACCAGGGATGGTCTGGGAACCAAGAGGCTGGAGTGAATACCCCCAAGACATCCTTACTCCTCATGGAGCAGTGGTGGGAAGGTAACCCCTCCCCCCACCAAAGAAGAACTCCATCTTTGATATTGATAAAGACCCCAATTGAGCAGCTAGATCCAACTCAGTCCTTGGAAGAATACAATAGAAGCCATTCAGCAGGTCACAGGAACCTGACCTGACCTGCTGGGCTCAGCTCCACCCTGGGGAAAGTTGCCCTTCCTAGGCAGAGAAGGTCTGCTCCCAGAGGAGTGACTTTCTTCACTGGGTAAACAGAGCCAGAGGCTGGTCTTCCCCACTACAGTCTAGGCAGCATGCCCAGCAGTGTAAGGGGGAAAAGACAAACAATTGAAACTCAGTAATCATAAATCCTGAGAATGGCTCCAGGATGGGCTCTGTGAGTATCTCAGGAGCTAGTACCTCAAGGAAAAGCTACTTATTGCTGATAGGCCTCAGCCCTATCCAGAACCTAGCCTCATCACAGCAGCTCCAAGCTAGAGTAAACAGCCATCTTCCTCTTTTGTGATACTCAAAAGCAAATCTTCCTCCCACTGAACTAGCCTGGGAGGAGGATCTCAATGTCTTGGGTAAGACAGAGCATTTTTCTGCCTGCTCAAACAAACTGACTTAAGAAACTAATCAATACACAGGAAAACCAAACACCACAAGCAAAACAGAGATTCCACCAAGAGATTGGTTACAGACACAGGGGAGATACAAGATCCTACCCCCCCCCACACACACAAATTCAAATAACTTGTTTTACTACCTAATTTTTTAATTTAATTTTTTTCTATTTTTTTCATAATTTTTTCTTTAGGTGTGTGTGTGTGTGTGTGTGTGTGTGTGTGTGTGTGTTTAACTTTTGGTCCTTTTGTTTTGTGTGACTTAATTGACGTTCTTCTCATCCCCAGATACATGCCTGTCATCAATTATTAGACCTTATCCTTCATTGTGTACATAATTCAGAAATTGATTGCTGAGTGCACAACCTCTTAGACTTAACTTTTTAATAGTACTATTATTTCTTTATACCTATATAATTTTTAAGTACTCCATTTTTAAATTTTTTATTTTTTATTTTTTCATTATTTCTTTTTATTTCTCTCCTCCTCTCATCCTATCCTTTTCTTCTATCAGTATTATTTCTTTATTTTTACATAATTTTTAAGTGTTTCATTTTTAAATTTAAATGTTTGTTTTTCATTTTTTTCTTTATCTCCTTTCATTCTGTTCTATTCATTTCCTCTCTGAGATTAGGACTGGTTAAATTCACTCTTTCCATTTACCTCTCCACATTCCTCTAATCCTATTTTAACCCACAATTCTCCCTGAACCTATTAATTTCTGGTCTGCTGAATGCCATTTTGATGTTCTTAGGCTATAAATTCATAGTTGTTTAATGTTGAATAGATTGTATGTGTTGAACTAGCTTGTATCTGCAGCCATTTTGACTGTGCAACTACAGGACTCTGGTTGATGCTTGCCTTAAAATAGTGTTCTAGCACAAAATTGGTGTTACTTTTCAACCAATGGGCAGAACAAGCCGGAGAAACACAAGAAAAATGGCAAGTCACGGTATCTCAACTCCCACTCATGATAACCAGGTGACAGAACAATTAATGAATAATCCAGAGGAGAGTTCCCAAAAATCTCTACAAACACTACTCGTAAACATGGTGAGTGAAAAGATTGAAAACCTGCAAAGGACTCAGTGTGAGTGTGATAGGGAGTAAGACAAGGCTAACCAAAGATTAATACAGGAATATCGTGAGCATGAGGAAGCTAATCAAAGATTAATACTGGAATTGTGTGAGCAGGCTGAGAACAGTTAAAGAGTAATACAGGCATTGCATGAACAGGCTGAGAACAGTCAAGGAGAAGTACAGGAATTGTGTGAGGGTGAGGAAGCTAATCAAAGAGTAATACAGTAATTGTGTGAACAGGATGAAAATAGACAAAGATCAATAGAGGCATTCGTAGAATCCATAAACAGACATGTGAAGGAATCCAGGGAGACCACAAAGGGAATGCTGAATGGAGCCCATTAGAAGGAAAGGGAGTACAAGGAAACCATAACCGATCAACCAAGGGATTTGAGAATAAACACTGAACACCAAATTAAGGAAGTAAAGAAGTCCATACAAGATCTAAAACAAAGCCCCAACAAAGAATTTGAGGCCATCAAAGCCTACCAATTAGAAGGAAAGGAAATAAAAAAAACAAAGTAGACAGTCTAGACAGTAGTATAGACCATGCAGAAGATCGAAACTCTGGGATTGAAGACAGCCTAGATATACCGAGAAAGAACATACAACTATCCAAGATAAATCTAAGAAATATGATAGATCTATTCAACATTTAGAAGACACCATCAAAAGACCTAATCTGAGGATAATGGGTATAGATGAGTACCTAGAGACAGAAGTTAACAGTCTAGGAAATTTATTTAGCAGGATCCTAACAGAGATCTTTCATACATGCAAAAAGATAGGCATATTCAATTACAAGAAGCTTTTAGAGCCCCAAATATACCAGACCAGAACAGGACATCCCATTGTCATATTATAATCTGCACAGGATCAACTCAGGCCAAGGAAGGATCCTTAAAGCTGTCAAGGAGAAAAGATCAATCACCTATAATGGGAAACCTATTAGAATCACCTCAGCAGAGGTGATTTCTCAGCAGAGACAATTAAAGCAAGAAGAGCCTGGAATGATGTATGCCATGCCCTAAAGACAAACAACTATCATCGAAGAATACTGTACTCAGCTAAACTCCCCTTCATAATGGCAGGCCAAATAAAAACTTTCTATAGCAAAGAAAAACTGCAACAATATATCTTCACCAAACCAGCCCTACAAAAGATACTTAAAGATATCCTATACACCCAAACTGAGAATCCAAGAACTATAGGAAGAACCGAGTTGTCACAGCCCCCAAGAAGATGGATAACATGGCAGGAACTACCAAACACTTCTTAATCCTAACTCTCCAATTAAGTGACACAAAACTGTCTAGTTCGATTAAAAAGCAAGATCCTTCTATGTGCTGCCTTCAAAAGTCACACCTTTCCCATAAAAACAAACATATTCTGAAAGTGAAAGGCTGGAACAAAATATACCAAGCAAATGGCCCCCATAAACAGGTGGGAGTTGCAATCCTAATATCAGATAAAATAAACTTCAAATTAAAATTAGTGAGAAGAGATTAAGAAGGTTGCTATATACTAATTAAGGGATCTCTCCTTCAGGAGGATATTGCAATTCTAAGTATCTATTCATCAAACAATGGAGCACCCAAATTTATCCAAGAAACACTATTTTCCCTCAAAGCTCACATAGATCCAAAGACATTAGTTGTTGGGGATGTTGACACATGACTATCCCCACTAGAAAGATAATCCCAGCAAAAACTCAACAGAGATACTGCAGATCTAGTCAACTGCATAGATCAACTAGATTTAATAGACATCTACTGAATATTTCACCCAGCAGCATCAGAATACATGTTCTTCTCAGCAGCACATGGAATATTTTCCAAAATAAACCACATTTTAGGTCACAAGGCAAAGTTGTCCAAATTCAGAAACATTGAAGTTATGCCCTACACTCTCTCAGACCACAAGTGAATAAAATTAGAACTCAACACCAAAAGCCATCAAGGAAAGTCTTGTAACACATGGAGGCTGAACAACACACTGTTGAATCACCAGTGGGTCATGGAAGAGATTAGAAAGGAAATTCAAATGTGCATGATATTCAACAAAAATGAACACATAAATTACCAGCTCCTCTGGGACACAGCAAAGGCAGTACTCAGAACCAAGTTTATAGCTCTGAGTTCCTACATCGACAAATTGGAGAGATCTGAAACTTACAATTTAATGACACATCTGAAGCTCCTTGAAAAAGAGCAGCAAGCTAAGCCCCAATACAGTAGACAGAAAGAAGTTATTAAAATTAAATCACAATTAAATGAATTAGAATCCAAATAGAAAGAGTTGGTTCTTTGAAAAAATTTACAAAAATGACAGACCCTTAGCAAATCTTATCAGAAAAAGAAGAGAGCACACCTAAAGAAACAAATTCAGAGATGAGAATGGAAACATCACCACAGAAACAACCAAGATTCAGAACATTATAAGGGAATACTTCTCAAACTTTTATGTTATTAAGTTTGAGACTCTGGAAGAAATTGACAATTTCCTTGCAAATATCCACATGCCGAAACTAACCAAGATGAGTTAAACCAACTTAAAAGGCCCATATCAAGCACTGAAATAGAAACAGCAATAAAAGACCTCCCATCAAAGAAAAGCCCAGGACAGGATGGATTTACAGCAGAATTCTACAAGGCCTTCAAAGCAGAACTCATACCAATACTTCTCTAACTCATCAATAAAATTGAAAGAGAAAGTTCACTACTGAACCCTTTCTATGAAGTCATCATAACCCTCATCCCAAAACCAGGCAGGGACTCTGAAAGAAAGAGAACTATAGACCCATTTCTTTGATGAATATTGATGCAAAACTTCTCAACAAAATCTTTGCCAATTGACTTCAACAATTCATCAAAAAATGATACACTGAAATCAAACAGGATTCATTTCAGGGATGCAAACCTGGTTCAATATACACAAATCAATTAACATAATTCATCACATCAACAGCAGCAAGGATAAGAACCACATGGTTATCTCAATATTGCAGAAAAGACAAGATCCAACACCCCTTTATGATGAAGGCTCTGGAAAAACTAGGAATCCAGGGAACATTCCTCAATGCAATAAAGGCTGTATATGGCAAACCTACAGCCAGCATTATACTTAATGGTGAAAACCTAAAGCCATTTCCTCTTAACTCAGGAACGAGATAAAGATGTGCAGTCTGTCCACTTCTCTTCAATCTAGTATTAGAATGCCTAGCTACAGCAATAAGACAAGATGCAAAAATAAAGGGGATCCAAATATGGAAATATGAAGTAAAACTCTCCCTGTTTGCAGATGACATGATCTTGTATTTAAAGAATCCCATGGACTCCATTCCCAAATTACTCAAGCTGATTTGAAACTTTGGCAAAGTAGCTGGGTATAAAATTAACCCTCAAAAATCAATGGCTTTTCTGTATGCCAACAATGAGAAGAGCACGGCTGAAATCAGGAAAGCAACTTCTTTTGTAATAGCCCCACACACAAAAAACTACCTAGGAATTAACTTAACCAAAGAAGTGAAGGACCTCTGTGATGAAAACTTTAAAAACCTGATAAAGGAAATCAAAGTAGAACTTAGGAAGTGGAAAAACCTCCCATGCTCCTGGATTGGGAAGGATTAACATCATAAAAATGGCAATACTTCCCAAGGCTATCTACAAATTCAATGCAGTACCTATCAATATTCCAACCTTATTTTTCAATGAATTAGAAGAAGCAATCCAAAAATTGACATGGAACAATAAAAGAACTGGAATATCAAAAACAATCCTTAACAGAAAGAATAGTGCTGGAGGAATATCAATACCAAATTTCAAACTACCAAGCCATAGTAATCAAAACAGCTTGGTACTGGCACAAGATCAGACCTGAGGACCAATGGAATAGAATTGAAAACCCAGAAATTATTCTACAGACCTATAGCCACCTAATCTTTGATAAGGGAGCTAAAAACATAGAATGGAAGAAAGACAGCTTCTTCAGTAAATGGTGCTAGCAAAACTGGTTAATTACCAGTAGAAAACTAAAGCTAGGTCTGTATATATCACCCTGAACCAGAATGAACTCCAAATGAATCAAAGACCTCGGAGTCAAAGCAGACACCCTGAAAACATTACAGGAAGGAACAGGAGAAACCCTAGGTCTCCTTGGCACATGCCAAAATTTTCTTTTCTTTCTTTTTTTTTTTTTGTTGTTTTTTGGGTCCGGTCATGGGGCCTGAACTCTGGGCCTGGGCACTGTCCCTCAGCTCTTCAGCTCAAGGCTAGTGCTCTACCACTTGAGCCACAGCACCACTTCTGGCTTTTTTCTTTTTGCTTCTGTGGTGCTGAGGAATCGAACCCAGGGCCTCAGGCATGCAAGGCCCCAAATTTTCTTAATAGAGACCCAGAATCACAACAAATCAAAGAAAGGTTGGAGAAATGGGATTGCATGAAGCTTCAGAAATTCTGCATGGCAAAGTACATAGCTAGCAAGATCAATAGAAAGCCCATGGGTTGGGAGAAGACTTTCACTAGCCATACAACAGATAAGGGTCTTATATCTAAAATATATTTGGAACTCAAAAAATTAATTCCCACACTAACAAATGCTCAAATAAACAACTGCCCGATAAATAAGTGGGCTAAAGACTTTTAAAGAGAAACTTCTCTGAAGAAGAAATAAGAATGGCCAATAAACATATGAAGAAATGCTCCGTCTTCCTAGCCATAAAAGAAATGAAAATCAAAACAACATTAAGATACCACCTCACCCCAGTTAGAATGGCTAAAATTAAGAATAACAACAGATGTTGGAGGGGATGTGGCCAGAAGGGAACCCTACTGCATTGTTTGTGGGAGTGTAAACTTGTTCAACCACTTTGGAAAGCAGTATGGAGTTTTCTCAAAGACTCAACATACAGTTCCATTATGACCCAGAAATCCCACTTTTGGGTATTTACCCAAATGATCACAAACAAGACCGTACCAAAGTATCAGCACAACTATGTGTATTGCAGAATTATTTATCATAGCTAAGATATGGAACCAACCCAAATGCCCCTCAGTAGATGAGTGGATCAAGAAAATGTGTTACACACACACACACACACATACACACACACACACACACACACACACACACACACACACACACACACAATGGAATTCTATGCCTCCATCGGAAAGAATGACATTGCCCCATTTGTTAGGAAATGAAAAGACTCCAAAAATTTATATTAAGTGAAGTAAGCCAGGCCCAAAGAAACATAGGTTCACTGGTTTCCCTTATTTACAATAACTAGTATATGTCTGGGACACGCAGAAAAGTCAAAAGTTATGTACATATGACCATATAAGATGATGTTAAGTGAAATGAACCCTAAGATAGGGACACAGTGGTTTTTTTTCTTGCTTGCTATTGTTTCTAACGTATTTATAATGTACCATGTGATTTTTTTGTTTTTTTTGTATGTTCCTCCCCCATAGTATAACCCCTGTTTTCACTGTATTTGATGTCGGTGCCCTGCATCTTGTATATATGCCTTTTTAATTTGGCGAGCAGAAGGGGAAAAACAAAATTCTTAAATAGGGATATAGGTTAACCCATTGTAATAGTGTGATACACAAGACACTATGTTGAAAGATGATGTTTACAATTTATGTGTGTGTGGGAATGTAGTTGTGCAGTTGGGAGGGAAGGGATGGTAGGGGAAAAACAAAGGAGGAGGTATGCTTCATAGGAAACGTACTCATTACCTTGCTCATGTAACTGTAACCCCTCTGTACAGTATTTTTATAATAAAAAAGGTACAAAAAAAAAGATTCGACTGGCTTAGATGTGCTATAAACCAATCAATGTCGGCACTTTCCTCAAGTTAGAAAAAGAAAAGAAGTAGATTCCCCCTAGATTCTCCACAAAGGAATGCAATGTTACAAAGAAGTGAAGATGTTAGTCTTAGTGAGACCATTTAGAACATCTTAAGAATATAAATGTAACTTTTAAAACTTTGTGTTATTGTAAATCAGCATTTGCTATTGTTCTTGTATTTGTTATTGCAAGTAGTAACTTGTTAATACGGCAATGGAAAAGTAATATACTTGCAGAACAATGTTTTCTTTAAAATACACGTTTAAAATCGTATTTGAATGCTGGATACTGGTGACACATATCTATAATCCTAGCTTCTCAGTAGGCTGAGATCTGAGGACCCTGGTTTGAATCTAACCCAGACAGCAATGTCCATGAGACTCTTATCTCCAATTAAACATGAAAAAGCTAGAAGGAAGATGTGTTTTAAGTGGTAGAGCACCACTTAAAAAAACTAGCAAGAATGTGAAGTCCCATATTCAAGCTCCAGTAAAGAATTCTTACTTGACCACGCTGTTGAGGAATGAGTTAAACTAGTATTTGTAAAGGTGCTGTATAGGATGTTAAATGAAAATATATCTGATTGGCATTAGAATTTTACACTGAGCCAGCTGGTGCTGTCTCCTGATCTTCTAAGGGAAAAATCTCAACCAATCACATCAACACCCTCTTTCCACGTTTTTTCCCCCACAGTCAAATATTGACTGACTGATGGGAAGATCATTCTCAAAAGCAAGTTAAGGACTCACTTTTTCTGATCCAGTTCCATTTGATCTTGAGCCTGAATTCTTATTTTTTTCCTCTATTTCTCTTTGCCTGAAAGAGAAAAGGGGCACTAGTCATCTTGTTAGCACTACTCAGGAATACATGTTAACATCCTTTCTTGCAACTAAATCTGTCTCTCCTCAAGAGGGATACCAGTTGTATGAGTCAGACTCAAGTAGAATAGGCCCCTTTGTCACAGAGTACATCAAGTCATGTGTTTACAAAGCTTTTGTTATTTGAGTTCAAATACATCCTTTTATAACTTCTGTCCTTTAGTCTTAACTCACAGGCTTGGAACAAAATAGAGCAAATATACTGAATCTATTGCTACTTGGTATTAATCTTTTAGATATTTAAAGCAAATTTCATCCAGATTCCTCATTCAACTTTTCATCGTGAGATATGAGTGCGAATGTGTCATTAATTCCCCACTCTGGCTTTGTAAGTTTGAGTCAACCTATTATAACATTTATTTCTTAAAGTTAAATATAACATTATTCTTAAAGTCCAAAATAGTCATAAGAGCAATATGAGTAGTGATTTAGGTTTACTCTGGGTGTAATGTCTTGCTTTTGTCATAAATTCATGCCAGTTATCTCTAGATTCTTATGTGCATATCAACTCCCTTGAATGATAGTTAAAAATTCAGATTCACTGATCATCCCACAACTTTATTTATAAGATTTCAATTCTGACATAGTAACCTGATTTTTAACAAGCAAAAGCAGGAAATTCATATATCTCCAGTCCAACACCCAGATATTAAAAACACTTTCAAAATTTCACTTGTTTTCATACAGGACAATTTCTATGTATGCATATATAAATGCCATAGTTCAGAGCATTGAAGCACATTTTACAGCTACACATAGTCTTCAAAGTGATCTAGAACAGTCTCAATTTATAGGTTGTAGGGGTATTAGGCTACTTGCTGTACTGTGGCTGAGTTGGGTCAAAAAGCAATATAATCCAATAAACAGAAAAATAAAATAAAAAATAGAAAATAAATAGAAAAATCTTTAGCCTTTTTATACAGGAAGTGTATCCTGAACCCATGATAAGAAACTAGCACTTTTTAGCCACATTGGGCACTTATTCCAAATGGTCATTTGGATTCACAAAATCTTCCCAGGATTCAGGCACAAGGAAACATATTATCTATTGTGATGGTGTCGAGGGAACCAAAATTATAAGATGAAACTAAGGAGGAATCAGCCACATGACTGGCTACCCTTCTAGGATTCCTACATTTTTAGGAAATGCAAGAGAAAGATGTATAATTTAGTAATGAACAAATGGTGATTTTCATGGAGGAGGTCATAGACTATGAAAATAGCCCTCGATGCAGGAAGGATGTGTGACAATCGTTTAGACATGCCTAATGTGATAAACACTTACAGTAACTCTTTACACATGGCACATTTGTTGTTGTATGATTTCCCATCAGCACCGCGTACGGGGTCACTCTCCCGAGTGCAGCTGAGTTTTCCATTTTTCATATGTTCCCGAAATTCAGCACATTGGTCCTGACAAGGGAGAAGAAGCAAGCCTCTTGAGTTACTTAATCCACTCTATTGCCATGAAGTTTGGTACAGTCTGAACAAGAGAAATTATTGTTTATTTCACCTTATAAGAATTATATCTTCTAAAACTGTGGTTGGAGGGCTACTGTTCACAGAGAGAGGCCAGAATCATCCATATTCTAATTATAAGGGCTCCATTGTTATAGCTCCTAATGCTGCCTTTAAAAATTCACATTGACAAACTACAATGATGACTGGAATTTAGCCCACAGACCAACTCTGTCCTGCTGTTGTCCTGGCATGTAACATTGTATTGAAACACTCATTTATTTAGGTTTTATTTATAACTCCTTTTCCTGCAAAAATGGTGGAAACAAGTAGCAACAATCAATGCCCTATGACATACAATACTCTAGTATTCGCTAAGGTTTTGCTAAAATCTGGTATGAATAAAAGGGAGAAGCACAATGCAGCAGGAAGCACATAGTAATGAGAAAATATCAAGGATAGGCTTTCCTGAATTATGGAGAACAGACATGTACAACCATGTACTTCTTGATGATTCAACCTCCTAAAGTAAGTGAGATGGCCAATAAAGAAGATATAGAGTCCATCAAAGGTATTTCTGAGGCATTTGTTGGATTCAGATGCAAAGAGATGGTATTCATAAATCTCACAAAACTATTTCCACAGGCTCTAAGAGTTATTTTATGTGTAATCCTGTCAGGTTCATGCTATCACATGTTTCAAGATCTATGCTAAACTTGCCTAAATTATTTCCTTTTATCCCCATAGAAGTGCTGAAGAAAGATGAAGTTAGCCTTTATGAAATGTACTTGAAGTGGAAGGGGAAGGATTTCACTCTAATCTGCCCTCACCATCTATGTAGGAAAGATGCCCTAAAAATCTGGGTTCAGCTGGGCACTGGTGGCTCATGCCTGTAATCCTAGCTACTGAGATATGAGGATCACGGTTCAAAGCCAGCCAGGCAGGTAAGTCGGTGAGACTCTTATCTCCAATTAACCACCAGAAAACTGGAAATGGCACTGTGGCTAAAGTGGTAGAGTGCTAACCTTGAGCTGAAGAGCTGAGGGACAGCACTCAGGCTCAGAGTTCAAGCCGCATGACCGACAAAAAATAGTAATATGGCTTCAATTGAGCACTGATGGCCCAAGCTTGTAGTACTAGCTATTCAGGAACTTGAGAACTGAGGATCCTAGATAAAAGCTAGCTCAAGCAGACAAATCTAGGAGACTGATTGCCTATTAACTAATAAACCAATAAAGAGTAGTAGTATGGCTCAAATGAGTGTCAGTCTTGAGTGTAAAAGCCAAACAAGAGCATGAGATCCTTAGTTCAAGCCCTACTACCCAAAAGTGTGTGCACCCCCCACCAAAGAAAACAACAAAAAGAAATAATATTGGCTTCATCCAGAGCAGGAAAGAATAATGAAAGCCAATGAAGAGCACGTGATACTGATGAGAAAGAATAGTGTCATAGGGCTAGATTACCCAAGGAAGGGTATATTATTAATAATTTCCAGCTTGAAGAAGTCAAACAGAGTCCTTAAGAAGCTTCCTTAGCTAATATTTCCCCTACAGCTTCAAAGAAAAGTCCTTTGTTGTTCTAAAAGCCATTCAGATTTATTACAATCTACAGCTCCCTACGGCTCAGGCCATAACAAGTTCCCCTGGCACTGAGTCTGGCCCACTGTGGCTGTAGGATAGGCAAGTTGCTCTCACCTTAGCTTTCCCTCCACCACCATTCAAACCTGCAGCATTTCTCTGATTTTCTTCTTCTTTTCTCTTTCTTTCTTCATCTTCTTTCTTGCTGGAAATTAGAAAGTGGGAAATTGGGAGGAATCGCTTACAGAGAGCAGAGCACATTTCTCTGAGCCTTTCACCACCACTAAATCTACAGTCCCTCTTCTCTCAGAATGAAAAGAATGCGTCATGTGAAGTTCCTGGCCTGGAAAAATTTCTCATTACAGTGGGAGAAAACCAATAAACATGACTACAAACAAGACGAGTGATTAATTAGCATTTCCTGAATGTCCACTGGGTACCTCCTTCTGTGTTTCTTATAAATTCCTCATATTTAAGAAGCATCCTCCCCCAAGAATTACTTTATTTACCAAGCATTATATTCTTCCTGGATTGTCTCCATGGGAAGAAAAATAAAACACTCAAGCCATCTCTATTTCCTCTCTTAAAAAAGCTTACATAGCTGTTGCCAGCAACACTGATTTTTAAGTTACTGGATTACTACAGAACCTCCTTCAACCTCAGGATCTTTAGGAATGAGCCTCTTCTTTCTCTTTTTCATCTTTTTACTGCTAATATGTGGATCTTCCTAGAGAAATGAGGTTTCTGCTACTTCCTTTCATACATGAAAAATTTTAGTAGTTTCTCACTGTATGTAGAATTGATCTCAAAATGCTTGGTTTGGCATTCAGTGTTGGTAAAGATGGTCAGTTCTAATAAACGAATCACATGTTCCTTACTGTAATTGTTTTTTCCTGGTTGTGGGGCTTGAACTCTGGACCTGGGCGCTGTCCCTGAGCTCTTCAGCTCGAGGCGAGCACTCTACCACTTGAGCTACAATGCACTTCCGGTTTTCTAGTGGTTTATTGGAGATAAGAGTCTCAGGGAGTTTCCTGCACAGGCTGGCTTTGAACCGTGATCCTCAGATCTCAGCCTCCTGAGTAGCTAGGATTACAGGCATGGGCCACTGGTGCCTGGCTTATAATTTTCTTAACTGATATCTCACCTATGTCATTGTCTCATCCTTCTTGCCATGATTGTACTTCATCCAGACTGTAAGGTCTAGTTCTAGCTATACTTAGAGCTTTCAATTAGTGGTGACTTCCCCAAGGTTTCATAGCTTCTTACACATGTTATTACCTACCTCTCAATTTCTCTCTTGTACCATATTAGCTTATGTCCAGGTCTAATACTTAGTACATTATCTTTTTCCTGAGAAGGATTTGTTACTCATCTTTTCCTAATCATACATGTTGCACATTTTGGACATTAGACCATTTAGTATTAAATACATCAATACTTTAAATATACTTCCACACTTTGGGTGAAGGAACACTTTTCATTTTCTGAAATGGGATATTAAAAAATAGTTATAGGGGTTAGATTGGTTATAAAACCTGTGCATTTTTCTCCAACTGAGAATTCTAAACTAATCCAGAGAAAATATTCACTTGGGAAAGGAGTTGGTATTTTAACAAGAAAGATGTTATGATTTCTTGGTCAGTTCTACCCCAGAGAACATAATAAGCTGTCATGTATTATCTGTTTATTCCTAGCACAATGAACCTTGGATATTATAAAGAAAATTTCACTTGAAAATTCTTTACAAGGAATTAGATGTTTCTTTTATATACAAGGAAATAAAGAATAAGATACATAACCTGCCTGGTTTTCTGCCTCCCAGCCTCTCCACCCATCAATAAGAGCTTTATTTGTACACTCACAAGACTGTCTTACACATGGCACACTTGTTGCCATGGGTCTTGCCATCTGGGCCACGCACAGGGTCATTTTCTCGTGTGCAGTAAAGATTTCCATTTTGCAAAAGATTCCTAAATTCATCGCATGTATCCTAAAAGAAGGAGATAAGATGAGAATTTGGGTATTTTCTTGGTTTTTAGTTTGTTTGGTTTCTATTAAACACTTCCAAGAGAAAATGGCCTAAGAATTTCTTTGCTAGCTACTGGATCATTCAATTCTTATTAAGAACGTAAGAATTAAATAGAACATTTGTATCTTTTTCTTTGAGAGCTAGCTTCCACATTCAGACTGGAGCGACAATCACAAGCAAATAAGATTCTCTTAATGACTTTGGACCTCTGGGGACTGTCCTTGCTGGGATTTATTGTTTATCTCTAATACATCATAATGAAAGAACATTGCGGTGCCATAGAAAAATAAATGGATCCTATGCTTGAGAAAAACCTCAAAGTTCTATGGTCTAATTCTCCATACTGTGTTTCAATCCCTTTCATCCCAGGTCCTCCAAGAAGGTATCCAAGTTCTGCAGTGATAAGAACTCTATTATCTTATAGATGGTTCATTCTAAAATTTCTACTAGATAACTCCCACAAATTAGCCATAGAGATTCTTTGCAGGGACCTTGGAAAATAACCTTACTAAGTCTCTACATTTAAGGTTTATTTTTCTGGCGTATTAAAAATAGAATGCACACAGCCCTTTTGCAACATGAGAGTTCATCAGATATTTGTAGACAATTTTCTTCTTTGTTTACCATGCCTCCCAATATTCTCTTCCAAGAGCCACAGATTCTCAGAAACATCAGTTGTTAGGTTTATGACATGATCATATAATGTTTCTTATCCCAAGTTCTGTCCTAAGTATAGTCTGATAAGTACTACCCTGTTGAAAGTTCATTTTGTTATTAGTTAGAATCTCAGTTTTGCTATCAAGAGAATTGGGGTGAAGGCTATTGGCTTTGTGTACCTCAAATACCTCATGAGTACAATGGTTAAATTGTGTTATCTATTCAATATGTAATGCAAGTGTTATTTATTCAATATACATGCCAGATTTTTCTGAGAACAAGTAAGCTAGGTGACATATGTGGTGTGTGTGCATATACATGCATGCTAACCTCTAGAAACCATGCAGAATATCAGATGAAGAATTGTGTGTAGAATAGAGAGAGAATAAACAAATCACTTAAACATTCAAATTAGTAATTGGTACCAATTAATATTGAATTTGTGATTTTTCCTAAATTCTTTCTCTTAAGTTGAAATTCAATGAAAATAACTATAATTTCTCCTTCCAGTCAGTTGTGCCTCAGAACTCTCTGCTGATACCTGGTCAGATTTTGTAAAAGAGATTGGCTCATCAATACAAAGTACAATAGATAGCAGCATTGATCTCATATGATAGAGTTTTCTCTTTTAAAGATTCCTTTCATTTAGATACACAATTGTCTTCAATAAAACTGCAATAACTGCATCCCACAGGACTCATATGTGAAATTATTGAGATTCCATGTTCATTTTTTTTGATAGGTATAGAGAAATGGCCACAACCTGTTGTAACAGATCTAGAGTCAGTCCTTTGGCCTCAAGAAAATATTATTTGCATACTGCTTATTTTAAAATCTCTTCCCTACAGGCTACCACTTTTCACTGTATTTGATGTTGGTATAATTTGTGGAGGGGAAGGGAAAAAACAAATTGCTTAAATAGGGATACAGGTGGACCCATTGCACCAATGAGATGTACAGGATGTTATGTTGAAAA